TCCCAAATGCCACTGTGAAGATTCGCTGCAGTACAAAAAGAAAATCCCTACAACTCTCACACTGTTAGTTATGACATATCACCCTTCTCTGGAACCTGCATGGCAAATCCTCAAAAAAACTTGCAATCCATACTAGAAAAAGGCGCAATTCTTAAAGAGCTCTTTCCAGAACCACCCATCCTAGCCTTTAAACAAGCCCCTAACACCTCATCACCAGAAGCAAACTCCCTATGGCCCAAACCACACCAAATGGATCCAGACCGTGCCAGAACAAGAAATGCAAAAATTGCCAACACATCTCCACCACCCCCACAACAGAACCATCACCATTCCTGGATCTTACACCTGCACCTCCATAAATGTTACATATCTCATCCAGTACACTAAATGCCCTGATGGAAAATATGCAGGAGAAACCAAACAACAACTGTGCACCAAAATGAACACACTGAAAATCTATCCGAAGACAAGAATACCCAACTACCTATGGGTGCACATTTCTCACAAGACAGCCACTTTCTCTCTGATCTCTCAGTTCTAATCCTCAAAGGAAACCTACAAAACACATTTGGTAAACGAGCCTACAAACTTCACTTCATAAGTCTACTGGATACAAAAAATCATAGACTTAATATAGACATTGGATTTATGACACATTACAACCTGCCTGATCTGACTCACCAGGTACCTGCCTAACCTCACCTTGTACACTTTTCTTTTCCCCCACTCCTTTCTCCCCTCTGTCTTCCTTATTTCCAGCTATTTCTTTTTTCACAGACAGCCTCTTTTCTACCTTGAATTACCACCACTGTAGCGTCTCCCTTACTCACCTGCTTTTTCCCCCCTTCCTTCCCTGCATTACCTTTTGTCATTCTAATTTCTACATATTTAGATTCTCCCTGACATCCTGTCACACTTTTAGCATCTCTCATTCCTTGGAGTCTCAGAACAGCAGAGACTTCCTATACCTTAAGGCGGGTGACTGTACCTAAAAGCTTGCTATGAACTTCCTCCCCCCCCACCCCCCCAACCTCATTCGGTCTAAAGGACAGCACCATCTACTCAAAAAATCCTTGCCTGCCTATGTCCTTAAACCAACACAGCTACAACCAAACACCCAACAGAATTACTCTGTTTCACTCTCAGGACACTGAATAATGAAATGGTGAGAAAGCAACCAGTCTCTTATGTGAGAGGTTCCCGACCCCTGGGCCGGGTACTGAGCCGTGAAGGGGTTGGCTGCCAGACTGGAAGCCCAGAAGTGAGCAGCATACTGTGGACCAGCAACCAACCCTTTTTTACACTGAGTCTACAAAAAGGTTGGCTGCCACTGCTAGTCTGCATGTCCGTGGTCACTTCTGGTCCGCAGCATAAAAAGGTTGGGAACCACTGTCTTACATGAGAGAAAGCAGCCAGTCTCTTAAAACATTTGCTTTACTGCTTTTGGGTAAAAGCTGTGAGCAGCACTTAGACTAAGAAAGAGTACACCACAGTTATACAGGCAAAGTTATTTGTGCAGCCATAGTGCCCAAAGAAAAGACTGCTTTCTGCAGAAATTCATTCCCTGACATCCTGCACAGAAAAGCTTCCTCCTCCCTTGTGGTGGTGAATGACTGAACGTTTCAGGTGCGAGGAAGTATCCCCAGCCCCTGGTGTCTAAGCCTAGGGATCAGCGCTCCCTGAGGGTAGAGCTAACAGACAGCAGGTCATGCCAGTCCTGGCCTTACCACCGTCGGTATTTCCCATCATCTAAAACGCCACAGGCCACTTGTGCCCCACCCCACAGCCAAGTGCTACGCTCGTTCGGTTTTATTTTGCTGGTTTAGGGGCTCCCCGGGGAGCCGCTCCGGCCCCTACCCGACCAGGCCGTCTCGCCAGGTCTCTGCTGCGGAGGGGGCAGGCGGGCGCGTACGGACCGCACCCGGCAACTACAGCGGGAACAGGCAAGCCCGGGGGAGCGGGCGCGGGACCCCCGGGCTCGCAGGGAGGGGGCGGCGGTGCCTGCCCCAGGGCCGCAGGCAGACGCGGCGCAGCAGGGCCGGGCGCTACAGAGAAGGAGGCCCCGGCCCCGCGCACTTACGGTGCCACACCAGGCTCTGCAACCCGCGCTCCCCGGCCACAGCCCCCGTCGGCGCCATCTTGCTGCCTCAACTCCGCCCTCAATACACGTCACACCGCGCTCACGTCACCCAGCTCTTACCCCCCCTCCGCTCCGATAAGTCAGAGGAACGCCCCGCCCCGTTCCCTCCCCGCGAGGCCCGGCGGGGGGCGGGGCCTGGGACTGTGGTGTGCGGGAGGTTGCGCTCTGCCGGTGGCAGTGCCCGGGGTACCCCCAAAGGAGCCAGCTGCGCCCTGGGGATGCCCGTGGGGAGCAGGAGCCGTCGCTGAGCCCGTCCGTGCCTGCCGCGGCGAGGCGGCGCCCCCAGGATGGGCGGCAGAAGACATGAATCCGTCCTGTATCCTGCCCTCGCCTTCGCCAGCTTGGCGGCGGTAAGCTCCCGTCCCGCCTATCTGCCCGCCCGCTGGGGTGAAACAACCCCCCGGTCTGTTCTTGGTCAGGGGCAGGGTCCTGTCAAGGACCCGTTCCCTCCGCTCTCGTCCCGAGCCCCGCCGCGTGCTGAAGGACTCAAAACTCGAGGCAGAGGTGCTGTCTTTTATTAGACCGACTAGGCATTTGCTCCAAAAATAATCTTTATTTGCAAGCTTTACGGGCACAGGGACCCTTCATCATCTCCTATACCTGTGCCCAAAAGTTTGCAAATAAAGACTTTTTTTTGTTGCGAATATCTAGTTGGTCTAATAAAAGATAGCACCCCTGCCATGACTTTTGATTATTTTTGCCTCTCGATCAATACGGCTACAACCTGGATACCTGCCATTTACTCTGATTTTTTGCCGGATCCCTGTAACAGACCCGGGTAGCAGGGAGGAGATGGGGTGGAAAATGTTCTGCTTGTGTAACACAAGGTCTTTTGAAGTCTGTCAGCACCTCCAAGCTTTCCCTTTCTGGATCAATAGGCAGATTCAGAGAGGAAATTAAATGGGAATGTGATCTGCATACCTATGCTGCATCCCACTGACTTGCCAATTCACCTTCCACAAGCTTGCCAATGCTTGAATGTACTGAGTAAAGAAGTAATCAGAACTCTTGGGGAGGCGATACCTTTTATTAGATCAACTAAAAAAAATTGCAAATATATAATTATTTTGCAACTATCTAGTTGGTCTAATAAAACATAGCTCCTCCCCAAGAGTTCTGATTACTTTTGCCTGTAGACCAACACAGCTACAACCTGTATCCCTGAGTAAAGAAGCAAACCAGTACAGGAATAAGTTGTCTGCTTAAAATTATAATATTTAAAGAGCTCGGGGTTGTGACATCTAGAAATGAAAGGTGTTGTGTTTTCCCAAAACCAAGTATTTTGCCTTGTTTCTAATCTTCTAAATCTTCCTTTTCAGGTCATTTCAGCTAACACAGGTAATGCCTCAAAAAGGTGATTTCCGTTACCAGCTTTTTTTTTTTTTTTTTTTTTTTAAATGGACAGCGAGAAAACGTAAAAAGTTCCTATTGTTGATGCAAATTGACTTTTAAGTTTGAATAAATTTGTAAATGAAAATGCTAACTACATTTGATGGGCCTGGTTTTATTTGAAATAAAAATGTATGTTTCTTTCTACAGCAAAAAAAATTTAGATGGTAGTTTTGGAAAAATAATTCCCTATGCTATTTTACCTCCCCACAAGCTTTCTGTCTTATTGCTTACAGTCTGAGTTTGAAGCTTATCAAAGATGGAACTCAGCTTGCATTGAACAATGTCTTCTTAGGAAATATCCAGTATCTATATAGCCTTGCTACTGTCAACTGCAGATTGCTTAGTGTCTGCTCAGTTTGTGATACGTATTTTTTTCTCTTGAACTACAACTTTTGATTCTGTTTTGTATAATATTAAAACTAAACATGCAACACAAATCACCTTTTCTTTTCTTCAGTCTCGTATTCTTTGTGTGCCCAGAACTCCTCTTGGCTTGAGTGCATATTTTGATTGAAGCATGAATGCAGGATTGAGCTCTGAGAAGAATCCATTTAGTGTATATTGTAGAAATATTATATTACAGTCTTCTAAAATTCTAAATATGACAGTTTAACAACGTGACTACAGTATTTGGGTAGTTATAGTATATTGCATTTTTCTGTCAAATTGTTAGAAATCTCATTTGACTCCATAAACCCTTCATGGTTGAAACACTTCTTGAAATCACAGGGATTTTCATTCACTGAGAAGTGCAGGATTGGCCCAGTATTTGCAGTATTACAAAAGCTGAAATATAAGTAAAAGCAGTACTGACAACCTCAAATATTAAAAAAGAATGAGAGTCAGTCCCTGCAAAATAATGAAATTACATAAGAATCACAACATTAGCAAAATACATTTTGTCTCTCCTTTATTTTGCCATCTCATTTTTAAGCTTTTCAGAATAAATTAAGGTCACATACTTGTTTTTGTTCCACAATCAGGGGGGCTAGAAAGTCACCTTTTTAATGGAAGTGAGGTTTTTTTTCAGGTATTCATGAAGTGCCAACATTTGGATCTTTTTAAGACAGACCGTTATCCCAGACTCACAATAATCTTTGGGACTTGGCAACATAGTATCACTACAGGATTTCATGGCTTAGAAAAATTGATAGAAAAAATCTAGTTCCATTTTCTTTTAATGCAAACTTTAATTTTCAAAAGATTTTTAAGTACCCAGGTGAAATGCGTCATATCATGAGTGTCAGATATGGTCTGCGAGCCAGATCCAGCCCATGGTGCTGCTTCATCCAGCCTGCTAAGCTACCAGTGGGCCAAAGAATTTGATGGTGTGCCTTGCAGTGGGCAGGGCCTGCCACAGAATCCCATTCCCCTGTGAACATGACTCTTGGAAGCAAAGGGGTGAATGATGGCTGTGCCAACACAGCTCCACTCACCTTGTGGCTGCTTGCCCACCAATGCTTGTGCCACCTATCACAGCAAGCAGTTACCTAGCCCACAATTGCTTGTCCCACTGCCACAACTGCATGTGCTGCTGCCCCCATCACCAACAGCCCCACAGATCTAATCAACCAAGATGCCCCACAGCCTGGATCTGGCCCAGAGTACAGGGTGAATTGTTCACCCCTGCTTTAGAGGGATTGACTTCCAGAAGTTCTGAATGCCTGCCATCTGAAGATGAGGCTAAGTCCAGGTTATCAGGCTTATAAAGTGGGGTTGCCAACCCTCAAGGTTTGCCCTGGAGTCTCCAGGAATTAGATACAAATCTCCAGGAGACTGCTGGGAGTCACCCGAGAGAGAAATGATAGGGCATTCATTAAAATAAATATTAAATGTTGAATCCAATTTATACAGTACTCCCATGGGTTTTTTAAATGTAATGGTAATGTGCATTTGCCTTCTTGACGTAAAGTTTACACACCGTAATTAATTTAATTATGTTGTGATGAAACCTCCTAGAATAGACTTAAACAGAGTTGGCAACCCTATTACAAAGCACATCCAAAAACTTTGCTTAGTAGTATGTTTCAGATTTGAAAGATTAACATGTTTTTCTGGGCTTGGCGTTTTTTGCAGGCTTTTCTATATCCATTTATGATGTGACATCAAGAAGTGTTTATCTCAGATGGCCGAAGTTTTCAGGAGCTGTTTCTTACAGGGTAACAGCAAGCCCTGTGAACGTAGTGTGCCATTCTGTAATGGTTCATTTCAGTGATGTTACTCTTATAGGCATCCTAACTCCACTAACCCCCAATACTATCCACACTGTGAAAGTGGAAGCAATTGATGAGAATGGAATTATCCTGGCTGAAGCACAGACTATGCAGTTAACAGGTTAGTATGGGATGGCTTGCTCAGCAAAATCTCCATTGCCTTCAACACAGCCAGGACTTCACCCACTATATGTTGTTATACTTCTAGCTCCTCCCCCTGCTGAGATGTATGGACATTTTCCCACTGATTTCACTTTCCTCTCTTCTTTTTTGTGTATGTGTGTTTGCACGTATACCTTGCATGCCATACATTTCTTCCCAGCCAATCAAAGCACAACTTTTGAAATCATCCATCATGATTTTAATTGAAAACTAATATGGTATGAGTGAGGACTCAGTGAGGACTGTGAAAAGTTTACATTGTATTCCCATTTAGAATTTATGTACTGTTGAAGTTAATTATGGGTATGGTATAAGAACTTCTGTAGACAGATCTCCTATTTTCTCTGTTTAATTACAGAAATTTATTTAGAAAACAATCTGTTGAAAATTCCTTATAAAATTATTCGACTTGAAAAACTTTGGAAATACTTTTTTTTCCAGAAGATTTTTTTCTTACTGGGGGATTTAGTACAATAAAGTTTACATTGATTTTCCCCTTGAAGTTTTAAATGAAATCTACCCATTTTTACTCCCTACTTAGCTCAGGCATGTCAGAAATGGCACAATATGCTGATGTTCTGTATATCAAAAACCTATTCCTGCAAGCCCCCTGAGAACAAAGCTCCTTTATGTTTTGTATAAGAAATTTCTGCATGGAAGGCTTGCCAAATTAGTTATTGGGTAAATTGTATTTTAATTTTATGAGGCAAGGCTTTTTGTAATATCTTCTGATGGACCAACTGTACAGCTCGGAGAAAGACTGAACAAGCTTCAAGCCATCTAGTGTCACTTCTTAGGTCAGAACAGTTCTCCCAATTACACAATTGATGCAATAAACCCAATAAACCTTCTTTTATACGTTTCCTGAACCATGGTAGCAACAACACTAAAACCCTGTTATATTTACAGCCCTAAGGAATTTTTTTCATTGCTTGCTGCATTATGGATGCTTAAGGACCCAGTCTCACTTCCTTGCATGAAAGTCAGCAGTTATATTTTTGATATTAGTTAAATGTACTGTTTGACTTAAAGAAATTAAAACAAAAGTGTCTAAGAAGATGGAGACACGTGCTGACTACTTCTGATTATGCCTCTGGAATGCTTGAAGACTATGGCTTTTTAAAAGTTTAACATACCTGTTGGTTTTTTAATTTTAGCTCCCGAGATGCCCATTATTGATCAAGCTTATTCAAAACTGAGCAACAGTATCACAGTGGAATGGACAGCTGTCCCTGGGGCTACCAGTTATCTGCTAACTGCACAAGATGGGGAGTCTTTTATTGAAACGATTATCACAAATTCCCCAGGCACAGTGACAGGGTTGAAGGCTGCTACACTGTACAAAATCACCATCAGATCTATAAACTCTGGAGGAAAGAGCCAGCCTTCACCTTCAAGAAAGGCAAAGACAGGTAACTTTTATTTTATCTAGAAAACTGTAATATTGTAATGCAAAATGTATATTCTGTAACACTTTCTAACCAATTCTTATAAAAGTCTGGTAGGGAATATTAAAACAACTAATTTGTACTGATAATGATTAGTAAAATCTTGTATTTAAATCTTCCTGTAAGTGCCACCATTGTAGTAGTTGAGGAATATTATATGAGTATAGATGTGACAGATTAATGAGTATTATCTTGGATTGTATTGCCAGCTCTGCTTTTGTACTTTGTCTGTTCTTTAATTTCTCATTTGTAATGTGGACAATAACACTAACTTGCAGTAGTCTTACAAGTCATTGTTTTAAAAGAGCTCTTACAGCCTTGAAAGAAGGTACTATGGAAGTGAAAAGCAGATGTAGAGCCATATGTGTAGTTATGCTACCCAGGTAATAGATTGCAGGTGATAATTTACAGTGCTATATGCATTTATCATTGTACAGTTTTCAGATTCCCAAAATGCTCCTGATCATTGGCTCACACGAACAAGATACAGGCCTTGACCAAAGTCTCATATTTAATTTTGTATCAAGGCTAAAAAATCTAGAATTCTAGATCTGGAATTCATACATTTAGGAAGAAGAAATTTTCAGTTTTCCTGTAGGATGCAGCAGTGATATTTGAACCTTAAAATGAGGACATGATTAATAGAATGATGCTGGGTTAATTTTAGAGATTTCAGAAGTGTATTAATTATACTTTTTTTTCCACAGCTTGGATAGTTAGTCTTTGGACTTTGGTTTTATGGTCAGAAGACAGTGAAAATACAGTCTTAAAGATATTGAAAGCTCTCTACAGCATTAAAAATATGTATGGCAGATATAATATGAGGTGCCATGGTATAAAGATTTTATTGGAACCCATGGGCTGACTTGCATAATTTACACGTGACTTTGTGGGCATAAGTCTAAAACCTTTACAATGTATTCTCTCTGTTTTGTGACTCTAAACACTTGGATTTGCTTTCCAGTTAATACATATACTGACCCTTAAGAGTGGAAGGATAGGGAAGCAATGGAAAGGAAGGCCTAAGGTAATCAGAAGATATAACGAGTTCTAATTTATCATTCCCCTCCTTCAGTTGCTTCTTTTGTTGTGCTTGTCATCCTTTCACTGTTTGGTGTGTTGGCCATTCTGCCAGCCTACAAAATAATCCACTGGTACAAAATAAGCTACCTTGCCTCTTTATTCTTTGACCAATTTATACTGTGGTTTGTGTCACTACTGAATTTTGTCCTTACTCTCAAGGCATGTGACTCTTTAACCCTGTCTGACGTTATCACATTTAGCTTTTGAACAGTATTGCTCTTTATGGAAATCCCAGTAGTGAATGTAGATTTGTCATCGACAGTCCTGGCTGCTCCAGTTCTGTCTGCAAGTTCCCCAAGTTATGACTCCATCGTGGTGAGCTGGAGAGCTGTACATATGGCAGTTGGATTCTCTGTGTCCATAATGAGATCAGATGGCTTGGGCAATATGGTGAAAGAGAATACTACCAATACCTCGTTGGTGTTTACCAGTCTAGATTCAGGAACTCTCTATACCATCAAAGCTCATGCCTGGAATGTCAATGGAATACCTGGAGATGATTTCATATACAACCAAAGAACAAGTAAGTATTATTTAATTTTTAGTGTAAAAGCACAATTTAAAAATATTTATAGTTGTATTTGCGTTTGCATTTCTAACAGACCACATAGGGGGAGATCCTGAATTGGTATAAATTATCCTTGCTCTATTTCTAAGCTCATGAAATAGAGGGCAACCTAAAGGACAAAGGTTAAATCATATCAAGTTTACTCAGGCAAAGGTACCATTAACGCCAGTTAAAGTTGTGCCTGATTGAGGTCCATATTAAAACTACAGGAGGAATTTAGGATTTCTTCATTAGTGAATAGCAAATACTAATGTAAATACTGAGACTTCAACAGATCAGTGAGAAAGTAGAGTCGCCTTGAAAATAATTCCATGTAAATATGATCTGAGTAAATTAGGTAGGCAAGATCCAAGCCACAAAAGCTGCACTTCCTAGAGCTTGGGGATATTTGTATCCAGGGGTCTGGTTAAGGATTACTTCTGTCAATGGCCATATGCTAAGTGTATAAACAATTGTTCTTAACTAATGCAGGTCCTCAAGCACCAGCAGATGTTCAAGTAGTTTTTGATAGTGGAGCTCTGAAGGCCATTATTTCTTGGACTCCAAAAGAGGGAAACTTCAATTATAGTGTGACGGCGTCCAACAGAGCCTCCAAACTGAATTGTGTCACATCCTCCACTTCCTGCTCCATTGCCTCCCTCCACTGTGGATCCGTGTACTCTATTTGTGTCATAGCAAGCAATGATGCTGGGTCCAGTAAGCCTACAGATTCAGTGAGCCTTAAAACTGGTAAGAAAAATATGGTGCTTGTGATACTGTTTCTCTTGTGCTTATGTTTTAATGTCAGCTCTAGAATTCACAAAAAAGAAAGATTAATAATAATTAAAGGTCTAAATGAAAATAATTTCTGTAGTCTTCTATAACCTTCTATAGGGAGAATAAATCAAATAGGAGAAGAAATCAAGAGTTACCTTTTATTAAATTCCCATAGTACTAAGTATATTACAAGAATTTGCTACCATAATTATCAGGATATTTAAGAATGATTAAGTACCATGAGTGTGTGTTCCTCATATAATATGTTCATATAATAACTTATTTAACCTTATTTAAAAAGACTTACTAATACATAATTACACTACCTTGTCAAAATACTGGCATTGCAATATTCGTTTAAGTGCTAGTATTGCCAGGAGGCAGTGCTGGGAATGCTGCTTCCTGGCTGTGTTCCTGACAACAATGAAACAGCTTTTCAGTGCTGTTTATTTCATTAAAAAATATTTTTAAAGAAATTGAGCTGTATATTTATTCTGGAACATCAGGGTAAAATAGTTCCCTTGAAATCAAGAAAGTGACCGAACAAAATTGCCCCTCCTGGTTTCATAGCTCTTCAGTTATTTAAAAAAAATACTTGTGAAAGTTTGGAGAAACTCACACTGAGCCAATTTAACATTTCCAAGTGATACATGTTGCACCTTTCAGCATCATCCTACTTACTACAACCCCTACCCCCTGGGGAATTCTTTGTTACAGAAATACTGACCATAGCTTTATCCACCCCTCAACCCACCAGGATTGTGATAGGAAAAGTTAGCTCTTGAAGACCTCTGAGGTAGGGGAGAGCACCACCTCCCTTGGAAGCCCATTCCAGATACTGGCAACCCTAACTGTGAAGAAGTTCTTTCTAATGTCCAAACTAAATCTGCTCTCCATCAATTTGTGGCCATTGTCCCTAGTTACTCCAGGGGGTGCCTAGTAAATAGAGCATCTCCTATTCCCTGCTGCCCTCCCCTGATGAATTTATAGGCAGCCTCAAGATCACCTCTCAGCCTTCTCTTGTGAAGGCTGAGGAGATCTAGGTCCCTCAGTCTCTCCTCATAGGGCCTTGCCTACAGGACTCTGACCATATGAGTGGCCCTCCTCTGAACCCTCTCAAGATTCTCCACATCGCTCTTGAAGTGTGGTGCCCAAAACTGGATGCAGTACTCCAACTGTGGATTGACCAGTGCCGCGTAGAGGGGAAGCATCACTTCCCTGGACCTGTTCATCATGCATCTGGTAATGCATGATAAAGTGCAGTTAGCCTTGTTGATCACTTTGTCACATTGATGACTCATGTTCACCTTGGAGTCAATTGGCTCCAAGATCCCTTTCTGCTGCTGTGCCGCTGAGGTCATCCCCCAGCCTGTAAGTGTGTTGGTGGGTCTTTTTGCCCAGGTGCAGCACTTTGCACTTGTCTTTGTTGAACTACATCCTATTTCATTCTGCCCATTTTTCCAGCCTGTCCAGAGCTGCCTGGATCTGTCCCCTACCCTCGAGTGTGTTCACTTTGCCCCATAGTTTGGTATCATCTGCAAATTTGGACAGAGTGCTGTCCGCACCTTCGTCCAAGTCTCTGATGAAGACATTGAATAGCACCGGTCCAAGGACCGAGCCTTGTGGGACTCCACTGCCTGCATCTTTCCAGGTTGATATTGATCCATCCACCACCACCGCTCTCTGGGTGCGACCCCCTAAGCCAATTTGCCACCCACCTGACCGTGTAATCATCTACGTCGCAGCCTGTCAGTTGATTTATGAGAACGGAATGTGATACCGTATCAAAGGCCTTCTTAAAGTCTAGGTAGATGACATCTACCTTGACTCCTGCATCTAAGCATTTTGTGACCTGGTCATAAAAAGGAACAAGGTTAGTCAGGCAGGATCTACTTGCAGTGAATCCGTGCTAATTTTCTTTCAGCATTATTTCCCCTGCTGGGCTCCCACAAATGTGATCCTTAATGATTTTTTCCATAGTTTTCCTAAGGACAGAGGTGAGACTAACTGGCCTATAGTTTTCCGGTTCCTCTCTCCTCCCCTTCTTGAAAATAGGGACCACACTGGCCCTTTTCCAGTCCTGAGACCTGACCAGAGCACCATGAGCGCTTGAACAGCCATGCCAGTGGCTCTGCTATGATACTAGCTAATTCCTTCAGCACCCTTGGATGAAGTTCATCTGGGTCCACTGATTTGAACACATCCAGCGCCTCAAAGTGCCCCTTCACTAAGTCTGCACTAACAGTTGGTGGGCTGGTGTCCCTCCTGTGTCTATCCCTCCTGCTTTGGCCTTCCTGACTGATTCCCTGTGAGTGGGAGCCAGGGAGGTATATTCCTCCTTGGTAGCTACCCCCTGTTTCCACAGCCTCTTTCTTTGCCCTTAGGATTTCCTGCACTTCTCTGTTCAGCCAAGAGAGCTTCTTGGCCCCTTTGCCCCCTTTTATGTGCAATGGGATTGTCTCCTTTTGCGCCCATAGGATCGCTCCCTTGAGGAACAGCCACCCTTCCTGGACCCCCATTTCACCAATGCTCTTGAGCTTTAACACCTCACTAACTAATATCCTAAGCACACTGAAGTTAGCCTTTCTGAAGTTTAGCACTTCAGCCCTGCTGGTTAGTTTACCTACCCTTTGCCAGATAGTGAATTCAATCAATCAATGGTCACTATCCCCTAGGTTACCTTGTACCTGCAGATTCCCCCTCAGTGGGTGTCCTTGGTACCCCTTTGTCCTGATGTCTGTTGGGTCCCTTAGTGCTTACCTGGGCTGATCCAGTGCATTGCTCGTGACTCACTGATCCTAGGTTCTCCTTATCCTCTGCTTCCCCGTCCCCCAATGAACCTAGTTTAAAGCCCTTCAGAAGAGATTAGCCAACCTGCAAGAGAACAGACTCTTACCTTTAGAAGAGAGATGAAGACCATCTTGTCCCAGGATGCCCCTCTCATGGAAGTGTGGATTGTGGTTGTAGAAGCCAAAACCTGCATGATGGCACAAACTCCGGAGCTGGAGGTTGACTTCTCTGATGCAGGCGTCCTGATGCTGATGGCGACTGCTGACCAGAAGGATGGATGAGAACTTCCTAAGCCTGGCCCTCAGAGCCCCGTAGTCACTCATGATGCGATCCGGACTACTCCTGGCCGCATCATTCATGCCCACATGGATGAGGACCATGGGATAGTAATCAGAGGGTTGGATGAGGTTGGGAATCCTCTCAGTGATGTCCCGGATCCTGGCTCTAGGTAGGCAGCAAATCTCCCATGCCATGGGATCCAGTTGATCGATAGGCCCCTCTGTGCCTCTCAGGAGGGAATCGCCCATCATGATGACCCAGCATCTCTTCCACCAGCTGCTCAGTTGTCATTCAGCCTGCTTGGTGTTTGTTGTGGACATGTCTTCCCCTGTGGCTTCCTCTGCTGCATCATCCTCTAGTGCTGCCAGAGTTTTGTATCTGTTCCCCAGTTGTGTTGGGGAAGCAGTCACAGCCGCACACTGTCTAGCTCTGGAGGTGACCATCCTCCATTCAGCTGTCTTGGGACTCTCCCGTGATGCGCCAGGTGTCTGGTCCTGCAGAGAATGAAAATATCCATCAATCTTATCTTCTGTAGCCCTGATCCCCCACAGCCTGCTCACCTCTGCCTGGAGTCCCCTCACCTGTCCCTCCAGGCCTCAATCTGGGCACAGGCAAGGGAACCCCCGGCCCTCATGCTACCCCCAGGCTTCAGAGGTCCCACCAGGCCAACCCCTGCAGACAGGGGCCAGGGCACTGCTGACCCATCCAAGGGGCCTGTCTGGGTGGAGACCTCACAGGAGCTCTGGACCAGAATGAATGATAGATTTATGGTAAAGGCCTTTTGTTACTTATGCAGACTTACTCCATGACCATAGGCAAGTCACTTAGCCATGTTTCTGACTCAGTTTCAACAATTATAGAATCATAATGTTGCTGCTTCCCTACTGTAGCCTATTCTCAAGGGTTGTCCATGAGGTTTAATAAGAGAGTATTTTTATTTGTTCGTTTGTTTTTTGAATATGGAATGCTTCACGAATTGGCGTGTCATCCTTGTGCATCCTTAGAAAAGTACATTGAAATTCTTTAAAGCAAGTTGCTGTTGAAATAGAAAATACCATACAGTTCAACCAATCTTCACAATTCTGGTGTCTAATAATACTGTTATTTCTCTCCTCAATCACTTTTAAATCAGAGAACATATATGCCTATGTATTTATTTGTACAGTGCCTAGCATAATGGAGGTATGATATACACTGGGACATCCAGGGGTTACCATGGATACGAATGACAATGGTGATTATAATGGTCAAACATCTTTCCAGTTAAAGCAGCACCATTGCATCAAAATGCTGGTTGTGATAAAGACCTTTAAAGCAGAAAGGGAAAGCAGAAGAGTTATTAAGTCAATTACCAGTATGGTTCTCATTTATATGTGCTATTTTGGAATGCCACCATAGAATTTCAATCTATAAGGGTTTCTCATGTAAAGGTTTTCACATTCCAACTGCTTTCAGCCCATTCAAACCTACAATTTCCTGTCATAAGACATGACACTTTTTAAATTTAAATATTTGATGCCTGTGCTATTATTTATATGTGGACTTTAAGCCATACAAGATCTTTCTTATGCACGTGACTGCAGTAGCATGTACTTTGTTCTGTTTAAAATACATAAACGATGCATTCTGTACTCAATATGCATTTACCTTCTGAAAGTAACATTTTAATGTAACCACACGTTATTGTTGCACCTTTTTAAAAATCCAGATAAGTTGTTCTTTTCTCACTTGGGCGTGTTTCAGCTATCCAAGCCAAACATGCCAAACTCTAAATACGCTTGTGTTTTTGCATAGTAAAAGTGTTTATTTAAATAAATTCTGCAAATACAATAATAAGTTCTGTCCCTCTCCCTTTGTTTTTGTTTTAAATCTGGTTTTCCAGTCCCTTGTGCACCAGGAAGTATAACAATTGAAGAGGATGATCCTGGTAACCTGTCAGTGTCCTGGTCTAATGTAGATCTTGGTGAATATTATGTAGTTTTTGTGAAAAGTGATGATGGCTTGGAGGTACATTGCAACACATCTCATACCCAGTGCCACTTCCAGTCAGACTGCGGTTTCATGTATTTCATTAGTGTTTTTGCATACAACAAAGCAGGGCAGAGTCCCTCAGGTGAAGTACTCAATTATACTACTGGTAAGTAGCAATTTATTTATTCATTTGCATTTGATTGAATTCTTTCTTTTTTTTTTAATCCTGAATAAAAGCTGACCATTTCTGATCAAACATTTAAAAAAAAATGACAGAGGATGTTACATTTATGCCAGAACATTTCAGTTTTAGAGGCTTCTGCAGTACCTCATGGAAGTTAATATTTGGTACAGCTGCTGTTTGCATCTAGAAACCTGGGCTCCTATGATGCAGCACAGTCTCCCTTCTGGGCCACCATGGTACATCATGGAAAATGTAGGCTGCCTAGGGAACCTGGACTATCTAGCAGAATGGGGGCATGAGACATTGCAGCAGAATTCCCCAAACCAAACACTTCAGGTTTCTTGGGTGTGTCTGTTTTTAACAATGAGTTATAGTTCTCTATGGAAAGCAAGCACTCTTTACAACAAACTGTGTAATTGAAAGACAATTTTCTGCTGAAAAAAGTGAAGGAAAATGTTTGGCCATTTGACCACCATCAAGATAAGGTGCATTTAGCAAATATACTAGAGGGTTCAATTTTAAACCACAATCAATGTTAACTTGAGTAGCCAATGTGTTAGTCAAGTGTGACAACACCAATTTATAAATTCTAAAATGTGTGAGCATTCTAAGATATTTTGATAAGTGAAGGGAATATAGTCTTATGGGTAATGTACAATACTGGGAGTCAAGAAACCTGAATTCTAGTTCAGGATGTGTCATAGCCTTGCTGTAAGTTCCCAAACTTCCATAAATTTCTGTTCTCCTTATCTGTAAAATAAGAAAATGCATAGATCATCAAGAACTTTTGAGGCTTAACTTGGCAATTACTAAATACTTCAGATCCTAAAATGGAAGGCACAATATGAGTATAAAGAGTTCTTTTCAGATTAGTAAATTATTACTGCAATCAAGACTCCAAATAGATGAAAGAATATTCTTTGCCCACAAGAGGATGTAAAATAGAATTTTCTGTGTTCAAATAAGGGACATGGAATTGATTCAAATAGATTTAGCTTCGGATGCATGAAAAATTCATCAGTGTGGGTGACATATGGCAATTTTTGATAATGAGGGCATAAATTAGTGTTGATGTTCTTTCTTTGTTTTTAGCACCGTGTTGCCCTAGTGACATTCATCCAGTGTTTGTGTCCAGCGATACAATTGAGATTGTTTGGTCTCCTGTCCGTGGTGCTGAAATGTATGAAACAAAAGCTGTTGATTGGACTGGTGTGGTACTTTGTAACGACACTGCTACAGTTTGCACTCTGTCTTCACTGCAGTGTAACACCCAATATAACATCACTGTTTATTCTTTCAGTGAAATCAGGGGTAGCAACACATCCTGTGCATCTAAATGTGTGTTAACAGGTACTTTGACTATTTTTCTTTCTTTATACAAGAAAAAATTAATTGGCTACCACAGATACGTAATATGATGACGATTCAGAATTATGAGATAGACAAGCATCATTTTCCAGTAAAAGCAACATCACCAAATGAGGACTAATGGTTCATGGTTTTAACAACATTTCTCTTTTTCCTTTCTGTTTCAAAGGTTTACATCACAACCAGTAATTTACTGAGGTTATGTTGCTTTAATGAAGATATTATATAATTTTTAACTGGAAATAGATATTTGTCCATCTTATCATATACTTTTGAATAATTTTGCTGCCTCAGAATGGAACCCAGGCAAAAAGACCAAGCGTTCAATAGGACCCTATGAACAATTATGATTTACATAAGAAATGAATAGTTAGCAATTTTATGATCCAGTTGCTAAGTAAGGTTGTTATAATGTCTAGTTGACAAAGAAAAGCAAATCTAGTATAAAGGGTTTTTTGTTGTTGTTGTTGTTGTTTTTTTAAAGGTGTATGTAGACTCCTAAATTTACAATCAGGCACCCAATTAAGTGGTTGGATTGAAAACTACTGAAGCCCTGCACTTTTAAAATCAGATTTATGATCACACTATGTATTTTGTGGAATTTAGCTGGTCAATTAATCAAGAGTTGTGTCTGTAATATTTATTTAAGATGTATGTGCTTGTAAACTGTTCCAAACTATTTTAATAGGTTACTAAATGAAATTGCCTCTGTCAAATAGCCACAATAATTCACAGTTGTTGACCACCATATACAATAAGAAGAGTTCTATATTGATAAATTCACGGCTTAAACCTGCTCAATATGAAATCTTTCAGCCCCATGCAGTCCTGAAATAACAAATATCTCAAAGGATGCGCTTTCCATAATTAGCGTGTACTGGCAGTCAAATAATGATGAAGCTACATATATTGTAACTGCCAGAGGAGAGGCTGGATTGTGGCATTGCACTAGTTCTGGGAATTCCTGCTCCATAACAAATCTTCCCTGTGGATCAGTCTTCTTTGTTAGTGTCGTGGCAAGTACAACAGTAGGACAAAGCTTACCTAGCTACAGCATCCCTTTCGAAACCGGTATGTGGCAATCAGTATGAAATGTAACTGAAAATATAAGCATTACCATGTATATAATTCTGATAGATATGTGTAGTTTTATGTCCATCTGTTTTTTTCACAGTGTATATATGTGTATTACTGTTTAATATGGAATGATATGACATCTGCCCAAGTGTGTGTGTGTGTGTGTGTGTGTGTGTGTGTGTGTGTGTGTGTGTGTGAGATAGGGGCCATGTTACTCTTTAGTGGCTACATTATACTGAGAAACCCTAATTAGAAGCACTTATATTTCATGGGTCACAGGGTTTCATAGCACACCATTTTTATGCAGTGCATGGCTTCCTTGTTAGCAATTAGATCTTTAATATAGGACTAAGAGAGACATTGGGATTTCAATGACTGGTTGTACTCACTTTGTTCCACTGAGCAGAACTCGCTCATAAAAATCTTCACATAGTAATCCAAGGATAATAGCTTTATCTCACTATGGAAAATTTTTTCTTGTGTTTGTCTGGTCTTATTAGTATATTATATTTGATCTACTTTAGCATGCTGAATGAAGATTAATATCTAACCACTTTGGTAATATTTGCCTAAAAATATGCATTCCTTCCACCCTTCTCCCCTTATTTATTTTTAAAGGACTGCTCCTAACATTGTACTTCTTCCTAATGTTCTCATCCAACTTTCATTGAATCAGCAGAAAGTCTGCCAGTGACTTTAACAAAGCCTGGACCAGGCCTAAAGGGCAATGAAAATATTTTAAAAATTGACAGTTTTTTAATTTAACATTATTTAAACTAAGTACGTCTAAAACAAAGATGTTGACAAAAGTGACTGCATATGATCTTAGCAGAAAAGTGTTGAATTTTCTTTCTTTGTTTTCTCTGAAGCTCCTTGTTGCCCTAATGATCTGACATTAACTCAACTGACGCAATCTGTAACAAATATCAGCTGGTCTGCTGGGACTGGTGCACAGACATATGTAACAGTACTGGAATCACCAAAAGGATGGGCCAGGTGCCACACTCTCCAAAACCAGTGTCTCCTGGGATGCATCACATGTGGCACCAACTATACAGTGTCTCTGAAAGCAATTAGTGAAACTGGCTTGACATCAGACTGCATGTATCAAGGCTATTCTTCCAGTATGTAAACAAAAAATGTGACGGAAAATAAAAGAAAGATACAGTATACTAAAACAAGTCTTAGTTTCATATTAAGGTTGTAACTGAGAGTAAACCAATAGTTAATACATTTACAAATCCCTATTTTTCATAGATGTAATGTCAGTGAAATTTAGACAAACTCGCTACAGCACTTAAATCCCTTGGTCTAGCTTCAGGGTTATGGGTAGATCATCTGTACACTGTGATTCCCTTTCTACACTGTGGAATGGGGCTACATACTAGATCCAAACAGCAGGAGCCAAGCAGAAGTTTGGAGATGGGAGAGGGATCACAGGTTCTGCAACAATCCAGCATCCAGTAAACTTGTTATGCTGGATGTGGAGCTTGTTATATTCCTTGTTACACTGGTTATGGAGCAATACTGACCAGATTTCCAATTCACAATTGTAAACAGGGCTGTATTCCAGCCCCACTCTGCTTGGAAATTTGGTGGGTCATTTTTATTCCCCTATTCCCCACTTGGTACAATTGCTCTGTCTTTGTAAATCTTTGTAGTCTAAATATAGGTACTGGAAAGTTTTCACTTCATCTGATAAAAACCTATTAAGAAAAATTTACAATTTCTTTCATAAAAGTGCATAAACTATTTATAGACATGTGTTTATTTTCCTTATTAGGTGCTTGCTGTCCTTTTGGAGTGAAATTATATAGATTGGGCAATAATGGTATCCGAATATACTGGAGGGCTTCTACAGGACTGATAAACTATACTACACATCTATATGGATCAAAAGGCAATTTCACCTGTACCCCTAAGTCTGGTTTGAGGTTTTGTGATGTCACTGAGATACCTTGTGGGGATATCTATACTGTGATGGTATCTCCAATTAGTGATAAGGGAACAAAGCCTCCATTCTGTCCTAAAAAGATATACTCAGGTAAAACATAGCTTATTGTTCTTTGAACTCTGTATACTTTGTTAAATGTATGCCAATATAATTTACAGAATATTTATATAGGACAGGGTTGTGTCAGAAAAAGGAGAAGGCAAAGAGATATCATGTAGCAAAAGTTTTCTGTTCTAATACTGGGTCCTCAAAGAGGCCATCCCAAAACCAGTTTGTGATCAGGCTTGCTAAGGAGCATTCTGGGAAGTCAAGGGCATGGTTTTTTCCTTGCCCTGTTTTCAAGATCATTGTAATTCTTTTTCTTAAGGTTTTTAAAAAACACATATTTTAATAATAAAAAAGTATTTTTTTTATTTAAAAAAAGCAGCCCTTTTGGGACCTATCCCTATATTAGCAAATTAAGGCTATGTGAACACTCATGGGGTGAAATTAAGGCCAATCTCAAGCACATACCTAAAGGCAGTTAAACCCAAAACACCTGCTCTTAGTGGTACTCAACCCCTAACCTGGAAGTTCTGCTAACTTCTTCATGTGAGGTGGAACACACTGCTGTTTGCTTCTTAGTGTACCCTTTTCTGTTGTCTTTGGGACTTTCCTCACCCTGCAGACTTAAAGCACAGGAAATCCTTCTGGGGTGAGAGCATATAGACTGGGCAATAATGGTATCCAACAATCCTACAATTCCCTTTTCTTGTCTTCCCATTCTTCTGCATCCTCCACCTTACAATCATAGATTCATAGATTCATAGATGCTAGGGTCGGAAGGGACCTCAATAGATCATCGAGTCCGACCCCCTGCATAAGCAGGAAAGAGGGCC